TCCCATCGTATATCAGCCACGGTAACGTCATTCTCTACTCGACGCAGAGAACAGGTAAGAAATCGTGTTGGTACCTCGGTGATTCTTTAATCTTTGATCCATGAAACGGGGGGAAGAAGATGATCTCTTTCTGCCACGGGCAACTAATCGAAATTAATAACTGTGAGAACTATATCACGCGAGTCAACGATCCATTAAATCAGCTTAGATCAGTGGTTCTCTTCTTCGATCGTGAAACACCTTCACACTATTCTTTTCTTCTTCATCACAAATGTGGGATTAGCGGACAGTTTTACGAAATGCCTCAGGGCTGGTTCAGATTCGATTAACGATCCATCAAACGACGTGTGCTACGATGGAGACACTCTTGCTAACGAATACGGCAATCGTACTCTTTAAACGATCACGTCACCGCATTACGAAATTCTAGATCGCCTGAAGCATTGTTCCTGCTGTCATTCTAGATCTTATCAAAATCTCTCGCACCGTTTGAAATTTTATTGTTTTTCTTCGCGTATACATAAATTATTGTCCTCCACTTTGCTCATTGTTTGTTTATCTATCTCTGGATCAGTGGTATACGTTCAATGATAAGTTCTCCATTTTTTTGTAAATATTCACTGGGAGACTCTGTTAAATTAATAAATAATTAAAAAATAAATCTACTATTGAGAAATACTTCAGATCCATGGAGGAAAGTTCCTCGAAGTGTAAAAGAAGGTGGAAAATACGTTTTACATTTCGCAGAGTTAAGCATGCCGCTATTCAAAGCGCGTGCCGCCCCCAGGTCGCCGACATCCGAGAAGAAGTCTGTAAATGGAGTAACTCATTACAATAGCAACCATAATCAACAAAATGGCACCGAGAACGATCAGGAGGGGTCTGAGGGGACACGTGACCAGCAACAAAACGGTGGTCAGGAGCAAAGACGATCTTCCAGGGTCTCCAGGCCACCTCTGGTGTTCCATTGTCAGCTGGCACATGGAAGTTCTACAGGATTGATATCTGGATTCAGCAACGTGCGGGAACTTTATCAAAAAATAGCGGAATGCTACGATCTACCAATGGAAGAAGTAAGCTTCTAACCCTTCGACAGATTAGAATGATTGTCTGACGGAGATAATCTATCTCAAATAAGTTACTTGTCAGGATTTATCAAAGGAATGTAGCTCTTGACTCGTACAGTAGCTACATTTGTTTTGTTGACTGATTATATGGAATTTTCCTTTTAGATATAATTTAGTAATTATTTAGAGAATTATTTCTCACAATTTATATCTATCATGGGGTAACAATAGGAGTCAGAATTTTTTTTCTAATTTATTCGCTACTATGACAGTCCGGACAAATTTTTTTTCGGCTTGTTCGTCGTTATAGCATGGAAACAGAGCTCTCCATAGGGAGAGCATCCCGGATACAGGAAACATTGGTTCCGGGCCGTGGCCTCTAGTCAACCCATGGCTACGTGTAGCTTTCCGTGTAATAACAGGTTGCAAAAGACCACCAGCAGCGTATTCATATTATGTGTACCTATATGTAACTATTCTGACGAAGCTGCTCGTTCAAATCGGGGTCACAGTATCGAACCAGCTTCCGTAACACCGTTTAAGAGCCCTGGTGAAAGTTAATACCCGGTTAATCATGTTTGAGACATTCTAATCTTTGAAACCTCTGAGCATGAAAATGCCAAGAGGCCTAAAGTGCATAAACTGTACCATAACTGTGAGATTAGGTTCCGATTAATTCGAACCATGTTTCTCATTCAAACTTATTCTCAAAAAATATTCCTGGCGTTTTTACACGACAAATTTATTCGTTAAATTTTTACCGAATACAGTAAAATAAGGAAAGGCGGTGGAAGGGATAAATAAATGGAGGTGGTGGAGGAAAACCAGTACAGTACTCTAGAGTGACGAATATTTCTGGTTTCTGGTAAAAATAAATAAATTTCTATTCTGGAAAAAATAATTGCAACAATTTCAGATACTGTTCTGCACTCTGAATACTCATAAGCTTGAGATGAACGAGTTGTTAGGCAGTCAGATCGGAGTTGGTGACTTCATCTTTGCTCACAAAAAAGGTACAAGTCTCTTGTACGACTTCAGATGTTAGATATCGACGTTTATTAATTTTCTGCTCGAATTCGATTGATAATTAGGAAGGCCAAAGGAGATAGAGCTAGTGAAAACAGACGACGCTTTGGGACTGACGATCACAGACAACGGAGCAGGCTACGCCTTCATAAAACGCATAAAAGAGGGTTCGGTGATCAATAGGATCAAGGTGATCGAAGTTGGCGATCATCTCGAAAAGATCAATTCGACCAGCCTGATTGGTAAACGACACTTCGAGGTAGCGAATTTGCTGAAGGATATTCCAAAAGGTGCTACGTTCACTCTGAGGCTGGTAGAGCCTCTGAAGAACGGTTTTGCCAGCATTGGTCCACGATGGGACATGAAGAAGGGGAAGAAATCAGGTTATGGCACAGGAAAGGAGACTCTCAGGTTCAAAGCAGACGGCAGTGCGCAAATTGTAGAGAAGGTAATTGTTTATATTAGGTGTACAAATGAATAATCCAAATCTTTTATAGCAGTTATAAAACTGATTTTAAAATCAGTTGATTGTCCCGCTCGTTTGCTATTTTGTAGTGTTAAATGCTAAAAAAGCTTGTGAATCGATTTGTTCTATTCTTGGCGAAGTGTAGTATCATACGATGTGTGTGCATTTTGGTTTAAACGGTTTAAAACCGGTGATTTCAATCTGATTGACAAACCACGACCTGGCGGCCCTCGGAAGTGCGGCAACGACGATTTAGAACAATTCGACAAGAACGCAAAAAGAGTTTGTAGTAACACAGCAAACCATTTCAAAACGGCTAAATGAAATGGGAAAAATTCAAAAAGAATACGAAAATGTTTGTACATAACAACGTTAGGCCACATATTGCTTCTGCGACAAAAGGCGTCGTAATGAGTATTGGTTCAGATTTCCCCTTATTCTGATCGATCAATCCGGTACTCACTTTCAATTGGTGGATGATATTTAAAAGTTGCTCGATGATTGGATCTTGCCTAAAAACGTTGCATTTTTCCATAATGCAATTCATTGGTTGCCTGATAGATGGCTTATAGTTATACAAAGCAATGGCGAATATGTACTTTGATTGAACAACTTGCTGCATTTTTTTTTTTAAATAAACTTTTAGTTTTACGGAAAAATTTGGATTACTCATTTGTACACCTGATACAATAAAAAGATTTAAAAAAATTGACAAAAGTACAATTTCCTGGTGTGAATTTTGATTTGTAGATGGACGATGTTACCACCGTAGGCATAAACAAAATCAACGTGATCATGGAGAGCTTCATGGGTATCTACGACACGGAATTAGGTATGCAAAATTGACTGAACGCTGATATTTTCACTGTTAACTTTGAGTAATTATACGAGTGAGCTACTTGTAACTCTTCTAACATCGTTAGAATCTTTGTAAATCATTCTTTTAACGTAATACTGATTGTATCACTTAATAAAATAGCGACACAAATATGGGAATTGTCGGAGGACAAGTGGAACAGTATGGAGTTCGCAGAGGCGATGGATAACTCCGAGTTAGAAGATTTCGGATTTACCAATGACTTTGTTATGGAATTATGGGACGCTATTACCGATGCTAGAGCCGGAAAACGTCGATAATATCAAGTAGATTATGCTAATAGATGGAATTGCGAGAAAATAAAAAATAAATTACGATAATGACTGTACGTTGTTACTATGGCGAAATCCTACGATTTAAATAAACAGAATTCGACTGTCAGTTTGTTTGCACCATTTGCCAATCACTGAAGTTCAGATAACACCGGTGATATGACGAAAATAGGACGGAAACAGATAAGCAAGTTTCTGAATGAGGAAGGAAATGATTTTGCAACATTTTTCTTGCTGGAAAAAGTCGTAGAATTTGTAAACTAAAAAATTTTGGTGGAAATGTTGATAACGATATTCGATGAAATGATTACAGTTCCCGGGAGTATCAGTTTTTATCACCGCACATAAATTTTTTAATTTTGCCACGCTTTATGGTTCCAGCCAATGAGAGTGAAGCAACGTTGTTCACAAAACATGTTATCTACCGAGTCAGTGTCAGTGCACAGCTGATTAGATTTGCTGCAAGATTTCCTAACCTATATAACTGTGGAATTTGAAGATCAATTCCAATAAAAAAAAAGAAAAATGGTTTTTGCAATAAGTAGAGCTAGCTATATATTTCTCCGTGCTAGCACGAGTTCTAGGAATAATTATACAAATTTTAAACTTTCAAGGGTATGTAACATTATCATCGACTAACCTATGCTGCTATTATTAATTGGTCATTTCTATAATGCAATATCAAATTAAATGACCACATTTATAATTCAATACATTTCCTATAAATTTTATGACAAATTCCTTGAATATATTTCGTTGTCATTAGAAGTAAAAATCAGTTGTTTTTCACGAATAAAAATTCTACTTATTACAGATACGTTCAGTGAATTTCTCTATTAAAACTGATATCTCCGAAGCGGAAGAAGAAACTCCAAAGCTAACTCCGCCGGTAGGAGATGGAAAAGTGTTCAAAAGTGTGGAAGAGACAATTTCAGACATGCCAGATGGTGCTAAACTCTTG